ATGAACTGCTACAGGGATTTTAAAGAATCGATGCAACTTTCGGCCCTCGTCCACGTAAGAGGGGATAATCTGTTGACAGGACACCGATAATACCCATTTTCTGGGTGACTGTAAACGCAGAAACCATGACATTTTTGCAATTGGCTTACTACTTCGATTCATGTTGTGGCGCTTTGTGAATTGCTTACGTTCTGCTCTATGCTTTTTCGTGCGGTCTTAACTTCTTTCGTGTTTTCAGGCCTAGATTGTTTTCTCTCTCTTTTAATTTTCCCCCGACCCACCATTTCCATCTCTCTGCTCATCTCCTCTTACAGGATGAAATGTGTAATAATAATAATAATAGTGTATTTTAGGGTAATAGGCAATGCTCTTAATGACCCTATTGAAAACGGAACATGAAATATAAATGTTAAATGTACATCTTACTAAAATTTTGTCAGTAACATCTTTAATCACGGAAAACTTTAACAATGCGGAACTGCGAAGGCTGCGGCAGGAGGTCTTCTCAGTGTACATATGAAATTTTAAGTGCAGTGGTATACAATCAGCATAAAGTGCAGTCATTTGCATAGTTTGAGAGGATGCATCTCATTAAAAGTCAGGGATGTGTTAAGAAGGGATGAAATCAAGAAATGAAATCTATGGCTGGCCGCAGATAGTCCTGTTGTGAAAGCCGTCGTTTATCAAAGACCAAACGATCCAGCTGCCTTTTGAATACAGCGATTGTATCAGATGTCACTATTCCACTTGGGAGTGAGTTCCATGGTCGAGCAACACGTTGGCTGAAGGAAAACTTCCGATTGTCTAGGCGTGTACGCTCCCGCTTGACTTTGTAAGGGTGGCCGCGCAGGTGACTCGTGGTCGTTAATTCAAAGAAGTCGTCAGTTTTGAGCGAACGTTCATGCCCGTGGATAATGCGGAATGTCCATAACAGGCCACAACTCATTCGTCTATAGGATAGGGGGAACAAATTTAACTGGATCAGTCTTTCTGGGTATGACAGAGTCCGGAGACCGTCCACCAGTTTTGCGGCCCGTCGTTGCACCTGCTCTATAGCATCACTGTCTTTCTTCATCCAGAGCATCCATGATGGCATTCCGTATTCCAAGTGCGGTCTGACGAACGTGCCGAATATCTGTGAGAAGAGTTCTGGAGGAAAGATTTTGAAGGCACGCCTAATCCAGTGCATGATGCTGGTTGCCTTTTGGACGACTCTTTTGCAGTGCTGAGAGGGCAGCAAGTTTGAACATGTAGTCGAGTTTTGTGTTACTTATGTCTTGTTCCTGGCCACTAGGATTCTAGATCTCTGTCAAACACTCCAAAGTCACCTTGGAATCAGTTGGTTCCATGATTGCGAAAGAAAGGCGATCCGTTTATCCCTAATATACAGTGTTGACCAGAAAATCAAGGACATCCCCCCGATACTGTCTAATAACCTAAAAGGATGAACAAGGACAGACCAACCTCAAAAATTTTACACTTTCCTCTAACTTTTCTCCTCCTATTTTATTAACAGAGCAAATTTTATCCTTGATGCCTCACTGCCAGTGTTCCGGTATAAGGTCAATACCCATGCCTAATGCCCCCGTGTACACCAAAAGGTAGACATCTTTGCCACCAAAACTCAGTTCGCAGTTTTCCGATGCTACGACCTGCTTGCCTGTCTCATGAGTAAAAGGTGGATTTCAGATTGTCCATTAGTGGTGTTTATGAGCCTATGAACAAGTCCTGAGTGGTTTCTTTCCGTCAGCATCTCCGAGAAATTATTGGTAGATGACGGCTTGGTCTCACGCGCATTAACTTTTCTTTTGATAAGATCTTATAAGGATCCTTTTTTGAATTGACTTAATTTCAAGAAGATTGTTTGGCTGCTTTTGTATTTTATGTGCCCACTGGCTGGAATCCGCATTTCTAGCTTGGCTTTAGTTTCATACAATTTGCCCCGCGCATTTTGACTGGAGTCCGGTTTTATGCGTCCGAATGTGACAATGCCATTTCGTTCCCCTTAAAAGAGCCACCCTCTCCCCATATCATCTTTTTCACATATGGTTATTGCGCTCACCGCGGGAATCTGAATAATGCAGTTTTTTTCTCCAACCTCTTTCCAGAGATTTGGAGTGCTCTGTAGCGACGGCTGTCACGGACGGGTTAAGCCATACAGAAACCGCAGCAAAAGGTGGAGCGATGGGGCGGTAGAGCAAAGATAGTTAGTAGCTGTAGCAGTTCTAAAGGTGCATCGGAAAAACATATGTTGATGGATTTGAAAGAAGAATGACGGCAGCACGTAAAGCAACGAGACGTTTCAAGGGGCACATGAGGCCGTCAAAGGCACGAGTTGGCAATGAAAGATAAGGACAGGACGGTTCCTTAAACCAAAAAAGAGAGAAGGCCAAAAGCGACTGTGCAAACAGTAATGGCGTGTGCGTGATCCCCAGCAATAGAGAACAATAATGTCACGGCCGGCATTGGAAAAGTATCAGAATGCACAAGGAAAGAAAAAGAAGTGAATGCATTTTACGTCATTTGTTGCCTGGCTTCAGTAGGGAAGCGTGATATTTTAACTGGTGGACACAGGCGCAGCATTTCTTCTTGGTCAGGTTTTGCCTAAAGTAGGTTGGGCCGTTTCTCAGACTGAAAAGGCCGAGGTCTGTTTCGCAGGGTTATCGCAGCGTCCGGGCATGGAAACCCGATACGGACATCTGGGGCTGCTTAGTTTGTTTCTTTGCCGGAAAATTTGTAACAATCGTCTTCGACCAGCGTACGAATAATCCCGTCGGTTCGTTGATGTCCGCACTGAATGCAGCGAGACTCCAGCGCTACCAGATTTTTTATCAGGCTCGCAGCAAGGTTATTTTTCTCGTCCCTCACTATCTTATTTTGTTGATAAGTAGGACGAAACACTGGCATTATATTCCCCACCATTCCATTATATCGTGAATGCGGTAGGAGATAGCATCCTGAAGATCTCAAGTCACGGCACATTTTATGGTTGGCGTCACGTGCGTCAGTCCGCCCACGGCGGGCATTCGCGCAAAAGCCGGTAATCATTTTTGACCACAGGCTCAGTCGCTCGCGCAAGACGTTTCCCGTGGAGGGCACTGCTCCCCGCAGCCCAGCTTGCTCTAACTCAGCAGCATCTGAGGGTTCTGTACAGATTAGATGCTGGTTCTGGATGTCTCCATCCTCCTTCCACCAATGGGTAACCCACGTTGGGGTTGTGACAGTTAGAGCACGTTCACCACCTTGGCCTCTCCGACTAAGCACCTATCAAGCTTGACAATAATAATGTCGAAGCCAATAGACTTACCGGCATATCTCTTGCCCTGGAAAGCAACGGACATGCGAGGATAATGTTAACGATTGCTGTTTTTTTTGTGATCTTGCGAGCGTCTGAAATAAGTTTACAGCTTCTCCAAAGTAAACTTAGACTTTTTACTCGCTATTTGTAATTTTCATGGCGCCTAATAACTGCACTTTGGTAGGGCTTCGACTATATTTCCGAAGAGTAAGGCACACAATACTGCCGTCTTTCAGTGTCTTGATCCTCCCTCGAGGCGCCTTTTTCTATGCTTCAGTCTCGACGGCGATGCGCCGTTTATTCTCACACGCACCCTAAGACTATTACTCATCGCTTCGTCCAAAACAAAAGTCCTTTAAGCACGCCGACCACATCTCCGAATGTGGCCGAATCAAACTGGATCCTGAGCTGGCAATGAAGTACATTAACAAGAACCTCCTTGTTGAGGTACCTATTCTGTTCATCCCACCAAAAGCTGACCGTCGTCCTGTTTCTTGAATTTGTTGCTGCGTCCTGTCTGACGTTCGATGAATCTTGCGGAGGACTAAGACTTATTTCATCAAGATTGTTGCCCTGGTCCTGGTTTACCAAAAAACAACAACGTTGTCCACCTCTTTGGCAACGTCAGTTGGATACCCAGTGAAACACTTTCGTCTTTTAGAATTGTTGCGCAACTGGCTTCCTGGTCAAAATTATATCGGTGACATCACACTTCCCGCCTTAGACTATGGCGATCTGCGTTAAACAGTTTTTTGTATAAACAAAGCTTTCAAGACTTCGGGCAAAGGCCCGAATTGCCTCAGGGTTGCGTCAATGTTAGAGAAAAGGCATCCACACGCCACAGCTGCTCTGTGACGAAGTTTGGTATTGTGAAAACCGTTTTCCAACTTTAAGAAAAGCCAATTGAATTATCGTTAATTGGGCATTTAATATGCCTGCTTAGCAAACGGGGTTTCTCTCTGATTGAAAAACTTAAAAATTCGGGAGTGAGAATTGGCAGAGGTCTAATCTGTTCAGTCACTTTTGCTTCACAAGTTTCTACGTCTCCGTCAAATAGGTAACTATTGTGATTGACACGCCTGCGTGTACTCCGATGAAAGCGCATCACCAAAAGTACGTGTCGCACTCAATTTGCGCGTCATCTTACCACGTCGCATCTTAAATTAACAAAAACTGTCAAGACGAGGATGTTATCGATCATACAAGCTTTTAGGGCTTTGCCAACCCTGAAGGGCGAGCAAAACAACCAAGTGAAAGTCTCTTTTCCTTGTATCAAATTAAATGTTTTTCATCTATCCGCCCAGCCAACACCGTTTTTTTGCAAAACCGCCAGAGTCTTTATTAGGTCTCCGCATCTGCATAGAAACTGTTCCTGACGATGGGGAATTAGGATTATCGCCACCAAATTGTTGAATTTCGTCCTTTTTGGCCACCTCTCGTTTTTTTATTTTGAAAAGGGACTGCTGCAATCGGTTATTGCGCTAGCCTCTTTCCCGACGCGACCTCTCACACCAGGTCTATTGCGAACTTAGTTTGTCGACGCCTTCTCTTTTACGCTTGAAATTTCACTCAGGAAATGTTTTGTCTTACATATTTCACCCTGTCTCCTGTTTAACAAAGTGCGGAAATGACCTTCCTTACTTGATCTGTAAATCCAATCTGTTTTGCTTCTCACCAAGGACTATTGGCACAGATTTGCTTGATGAAGGCAATCCAGACGTCTGTTGCGTCCACACAAACTTCCATCTCCCTTGCCGACTTTGCCGATCAGTCTGTAACCAGCACTTGTGCGGCTCCAGACCTGTCCGAGGCCCATGACTCTGCCCTACCTAGAGAATTTCGTAATCGCATTCACAACCTTTTTGATCGCATCGAACGGGAATTTGAGCGCGAATACCAGAAGTTATGCGCTGAAAACTATGCCCGTACGTTCAACACAATCAATATCAGCGTTGATTCTCAGTCATTTGTTTATCAGCGGTCTATATAGGTTCACCAGAGTTTTGTTTAGGCCAAACGCGCTCCCTTAACTGTTAAAAATCCTCAGCATTTAAGTGCTTCAATTATGTGATTTTCTTAATCAGTAATTATCCGTCCTTACAGCGTGATGCTTATGACCACTACCCTGCGGGCAGTTGTGACATGATTCTTAGTGGCGCGGGCTTGCGCCCCGCTGCCCCCATCTTTTACCTCCTCTCAACTCCTAATCGGATGGACAGACTAGATTAGGTAGCAGATTACTGACACATAGCCCCCAGTCTACCAGTGCCACAACCCAACTGGTTCGTCCCTGCCGACCAAACTAGTTCTGCCGTCGTAAACGATAACTCCCACGGAGTGAATATCGCCAGTGACTTGCTCATGGGAAGACGGACTCGCACAGAACCGACCACATTCTTGCTCCTCTTACGATGACAAGCCAATGTCAAAATGACCGGAGGTTGGGAAGGACGCAACACTCCCAACCGTTCGGTATTCGGTCTGGCGTTCGAAAGAGTTGTATCCTGTCGCCCATTCTGTTCAACTATGCTATTGACTGGATGCTCGGGAGGGCCATACACGAGGGTAACGGCTTTGAGTTTGCACCCGGACACTAACTGACTGATCTTGACTATGCCGATGATATCGCTTTACTTGCTTCAAGTTTTAGTGATCTGCAGTTTACTGTGTCACGGGTGAACGAGATCGCAAATCGGTCGGTTTATCCATGAACGCTGGGAAGACTAAAGCGTTTTCAAGCGGCATCCCTGACCAGGAGAAGGCACCCCTCGGGATTGATGGCTGTCAACTTGAAGAAGTAGACAGTTTGAAATACCTTGAGGCGAGGCTGCTGCCTAATGGACAGAGTAAGGACGACATTGTCTCCCGAATTGGTGCCGCCCGCTGGGTTTTCTCAGGCCTTTGGAAATGCCTATGGATCCGACGTGACCTCTCTATCGCCTCTAAGAGTCGCGTGTACGGTGCACCTGTCCGGTCCATCCTTCTCTACGGCTGTGAATGCTGGGCTTTGTGCGTGGAGGACGAGCGAAAACTGAAGGTATTTGAACACCACTGCTTGAGGACCATCCTTTGAGTAAAGTCCACCGACTTCGTCTCAGATGAGACAGTCCGCGCTCGCTGCGACAAAATCGAAGGACAATCCAGGCCATCCAAAAAGACAACTGAGGTAGTTTGGGTATGCTCTTCGTCGTCCACCTCAGGAGCTCGGTGTTACTGCCCTCGATCCGGCACCGTTGCCCCATTGGAGGCGTCGAAGAGGTCAGTTCGAAACCTGGCTCGACAGAGTTCGTCAAGACATGGAGGTGCTTCGGTATTCGGTCTCCATCGTTGGCGAAGGGAATGAGTTGAGCTGTCCAGATTTGCTGCCGTGTATGGTCACGCGTGGAGAGGTACAGTTCGTGACGTCATCGAGGCCGACTAGATCAGGAATGATTGCAGCCATATCAAGTACAAGTAAGATATAGCACCGGAGAGAAAGGTCACGAGGGATGAGGTCAGGGGGCGTGGAGCCATACCAAGTAACTAAATGAGCAGTGTGAGGTTCCTTGTCAACGAGGAAAAATAGTAGTTGTGGCCTCCAGCCTTACACTTTGGGTGTTGACAGCTGTTAGTAGAGGAATTAGTAATTGTTCGCGCACTTGCTGGGCAGTGTCTGAGGGCCTCTGCAAGAGTCATATCGCCTTGTCCTCTAACCGTCATCTACAGTGAGCAGGTTTAGTGCATTTATGCAAAGAAATAACCGGCCTTCACTTATATGCATATATATTGTCCTCCTCCTGTTCATTCTAGTGCAAGAAAAACTGGAGAAGTTCGAAGAGGGCGACCACAATGAGTCTTCCAATTTTTCGAAGAAATGTGAGTTCTACTGGAGTAAACAGTGGGTGAAAAATTTGTGCGATCTCTTTTTTTGCATGTTTTTGCATTCTGTACGCCCTGTTTGACACAATGAGATTCTTCTAGGATAGCATGGATACTCCGCTTTTTTGTCGTAAACAGTCTAAACGTAGCGCAGACTACAAGTGCGGGTTGTTTACGCAGGCATCATTTAAATTTGACTGCCTAGATCGGTGAATAAAAAGCCGACTGCCAAGGCGTTAGATAAGTCGGAAAGGAAGCTGAAAATAGGGCGAAATCTAAAGAGTTCGCTCGATCTCACGACCTCCATCTAGGGCTATGATGTCCGCTGCTTATCTAACAGCAGCGAACAAGTATTTGAAAGCACAAGGACCCAGTCGAACTGCAGAAAACACCAGACCGATAATTTGATCATGTTTACGGTGCTCTGACGGTCACATTAAAGGGACGCGGGGAAGGGGGGAGGGGACGGTGCAGGAACGGCATTGTGACAGACCTTTCCTTCCCTCTGGGAGATGTTCATTCCTCGGGGTGCTGCTGGGGCCCATTGAGAGCTGTTTGCTACTAATACGGCCTGAAGTCAGTCACCTCAGTCGTCTACTCATACGACCGAGATTGTGGCGTTCTGCAAATAGCCTGGAGAGCGACGGACCGCCCTTGTGCCAAAGGGGACCTTCGAAGCCAGCCCTTTGGTCCACAGTACGGTCACTGTTCAGCAGGTCATTTTTGTGGTAGACAGGCGCTCACCGATCGTTTCCACGGAACTCATTTGCCCCGTTGTGCACTACGGGCTCTCTCTCTCAAGCCCAAACAGCAGCCGCACAGCGGCGCATGATATAGGCAGAATGGCATTACCGACAAAGACAAGGGAGACTGGAATGGCTACTTCTGGCTTATTAGCCGTCGTCAGCCAGCCATACCCAACCCCGAAGTGTGGAACACCCGAGGCTCGAACTCGCGACCTGTTATTTAGAAGTCCACGCCTTTAACCACTGGGCCACGAGCCCGTTGCCTTGTCGGTTTCGATCGGGAATATTCAATGGTAGGGGGCGCTCACCGATCGTTTCTACGGAGCTCATTCGTCCCGTTGTGCCTTATGGGCTCTCTCTCTCTCTCGAGCCCAACCAGCAGCCGCACAGCGGCGCATGATATAGGCAGAATAGTATTGCGGACAAAGACAGGGGAGACGGGAATGGTCATTTCTGGCTTATTAGCCGTTGTTGGCCAGTCGTACCCAACCCCGTGGCTCAGTGGGTAGAGGCGTTGGACTTCTAACTACCAGGTCGCGGGATCAAGCCCCAGGTGTTCCACACTTCGGTGTTGGGTATGACTGGCTGACGACGGCTAATAAGCCAGAAATAGCCACTCCAGTCTCTGTTGTCTTTGGCAGCAATACTATTCGGTAATTTTTGTTGTTGTTTCGTGCCACGCCTGACTGATTGATGCAGTTTCCACTTGGCATTTCCACTTTTGTCTATGCAAGCAAAGTCACGGCGACTGAAATGCCGACGCCATTGAGTTCGCCTCTCTTTAGAAACTTTGACTTCGTTCAACTCCCTTCCTTCTACGAGGGTGTTTCAGCCCCCAAAGTGAACGAAGTGTACAAGCGGTAAACGGGGCCGACAAGAAATGCTCTACTTCCATCAAGTTGGTCTTAACTCGTAGCACATCGCCGCCTAGCGGTAGTTTAGTACTGCGCTTGGGGTTTACGATGACTCTCTATCTCCACCATATTCGCCTATCCTTGCCGGCCTTTTTTGCTAATCATCATATCCACCTGTCGGGGCCGAGTGATATCTAGGGTCACGAGACTTAGCAGCGAGACTCGTAGCTGAGTGCCTCCAATGTCTCTGTTCTTCGCCCTTTTTCGATAGACGACAGCACAGGTCTAGGGCCACATTGTCTCATTTGATGCGCTATGCCCTTAACCGACATTGCGCTAAAAGCTGTCGTTTTTGATCTCTTGTCCACTGCACGCACAGTAACTGCCAGTCAGCTGTCGCACCGAATTAAACAGCAGTACAAACAGTCCACCTCTCGCCTCGTCTCAACTCTCCGACCAATCGGCGGAGGTCTGTCCTTACCGGCACCGACCTCCCTTGCTTGCGGCGGTGGCGGCGGCAGCAGCAGCAATGCCAGTGCCGGTGCCGGCGAATCGGCGATGCGCTGCAGTGCCAATACGACTGCTGCTCCTGGCTGGGGCGCGGCTGGCTACAATCGGTCCTGGAAGTTGGCCAATCGGTTTGTCGGTCATAGGGATGGCATTTGGGAGGTGACCGCTTTCCAGAACCTCGTGGCTACAGCCTCTGCGGATACAACCGTGCGCCTGTGGAGCAATTCAGAACTCGCCAAGTGGGTCGCGCCTCACTCAGATATCTTCCTTTGCCCTCTCCCTCATCTCGTTTGGGTGCTTAAAAGCTCCTTTTTTCTCTCTCTGTGGGCTCAAATGCAGCTGCTTACTGGTATATTTGGGCCACTCGGGCTCCGTGAATTCGGTGCGGTTCCGCGCTGCTGATCAGCTGATGTTGACCTGCAGTGGTGATGGGACTGCTCATCTCATTCGACTACCGCAGAAATTCTTCGAGGCCAATCAGACGGGTGATACATCCGCAGCGGAAATTTCAAACGACTGTCCCGCCGCCGTCAAAAGTCATCCGTCTACTGGTAAGTACCTCTGCTTATGGCACTCTCACATAGTGGAATCCACGCTGAGTATGGTAGCACGCCTAGGCGCGGGTCCGGCCGCGCCGGCCACCTGCGCCCTCTCCTGTCTCCGATCTTCTTGACCATGTCTTGACACCGGGCCCAGGTGGGGGGGAGGGTGTAGTAGATGCGGCTCTCTCATTTGTATTCGAATTTACTCGTCCACCAAACTCCCACATAGGCTGCGCCACAGGTGCGCTGGACTAAAACCAGAGTCAAACTTTTTCACGGCATGCGTTAATAAGGCTGCGCTGATTGTGCGCAATTGCATAGCTACTGCCGTACATGTTTGTGGTACGCGTTAGAGGTAGACCTTCATACAGCTCGGACAGTCGACTTTTACACGCGAGAAGGAGGAGTGATTGAGGCCGACGCTAAGGAATTCATTCCCACGATGCATAACCACATTCCTCGCTGTGCTTAAATTAATTACGACGCGCTACTAGTCGTGGCCCGGAAGATTTTCAACTGCCGAGATAGCCCCGTTCTCGGCAGGACTGAGTGTCAGGCTGCAGTTGGGTCCTTCTTAGTGTGGTTTTCGATGGCATTCTCACTCATCTGAAACCCAAATCGCTCCCATGGCATCCCGATATCTGTGTTCTTTACCAGGTCGTGTGTGTGGAACGCGTAGACGAGCTGTTTGACTTTGCCAGTCACTGTGATTTTAAACTATGACTTAGAGGGCTACCAGTTGACTGGGTAACTTACTCCTTTTAGAACGGCACCTGAATGTGGCCTCTATGACACGCCCACTCAGAGGGAATCTGAGCTCCCTCTTCTGGGAAACTGTGGTACATTGTGGGGAACCAGGTCGTGTATGGCACGCGTAGACGAGCTGTTTGACTTTGTCAAGAAGACCGAAGGCGGGCGCGGTCGCAGTGACTGACAGTGCCATGTCATCGGAGTCAGGTGGGTGAAGGATAGAGTGCGGTAGATGCAGCGAAAGTCTGCCTCACTATAAACGGATTCACGCTCAAGTCGCCGGTTGCTGCGCCCACTCCGTGAGATACGCGGTCGACGTCGTCACTTGCAACCCTCGAACTGTTGGTAGGTTGTGCTCGTTGTCGTCGTCGTCGTCTCTCTGTGCATGATGGGTCTGGTCTCTCCAAACGACGGGCCAAATCGAGGTCCACATTCACTCCTGACATGCATTAATCGGACTAGGTTGAATATTCGTGAGTTAGACAGATATGCGGGAAATGGCTTCGCTTGACCGTCGATGCGGTTGCCGAGGTGTGGTTGGTGCGCACCTCACAGATGAGGACTGGGAGTCTGTCGCAAAGCATCACTTTACCCGTAGGAGTACCGTCGACAGATCAAGCAAAAGATTAGGTGGCAGCACCACTGACTATATTCGGGCGTTACGTGTGCCGCTACTCCGATTGGCCGTGACTTGTTAGACGGACCTTTTCACTGTCAGGGGTTTTTACAAAGTTGCCTTGCCTCCGATGCAGATTAGTTTGTCCTCCTCCTCCTCCTCCTCCTCCTCCTCCTCCTCCTCCTCATCATCATCATCATCATCATCATCATCATCCTCGCCGGATGAGCCATGTCGCATGTCGTTAATTCGCTGGGGGACTAGAGAACACAGGGAGGGGGAGAGGGCTGTGCCCGAAGTCACTCGTGCTGCGGTTGATGTTTCCGTTTGGCCAATCCGTGTGGGTCTTTATCCATTTCTTAGCATCGAACCTCAGATACTCATCAGATTTACACCGCCTGTCCGAGAATAGCCCGTGACTTTGTCATGCTTTTGGAGGAGGGCGACTGCCAGTTAGATGAAGTTCAAGTTCGATCGGTGACCGCCCCTCCCGATCGAAACCGACAGGATAACAAGCCCGTGGCTCAGTGGCTAAAGGCGTTGGACTTCTAACTAACAAGTCGCGAGTTCGAACGCCAGGTGGGTGTGACTGACTGACGACGGCTAATAAGCCATAAATGGCCATTCCAGTCTCCCTTGTCTTTGTCGGTAATAACAGTCCAGGTTCCTTCTGCTTTAACCCAGATCATTCACAGGCCATCAGTCTCCTTTCTGGAAGGTTTTTAGTTTTCGTTGTTTACACCGGATGAACCACAGGGTTCGCTTTCTAACCTTCAGGAAAGAGTACCGAAAAAGACAAGGGAGACTGAAATGGCAGTTTCTGGCGCATTGGCCGTCGCCAGCCAGTCATGCACAAGCGCAAGTTTAAACAACCTGAGGCTTGGACCAGGATTCAGAGGCAGCACTAAAAACGATGGCTCCCTCAGCAGGAAGACTACTGGTGCGTGCGGTGCATCTGCGCGACTTGATTTATCGTGCCACTGCCTGGACGAGATTTATGTCTGTCCCGCCTCTTTGGTCGCAGTTAAGGAAATGCTGTCTCTCGGCCTCAGACGCAGACGATTGGTCGCAACAGCACATTGACCGACTGCTTAGGATGGTCCCACGTAACGTGCGCTTTCTGTCAGTGACAGTCGGTCTTCATCCGCAAGCCTAACTGCTGGCTGCCCAGCGTGTCTGCAGGTGGCGGATAGTGGAATGGTCCTCAGCGACGGTCATCTAAGAAGTACCCAGTTCTCGGGTCTGACGAGTAAGCTGTCGCAAACCGTCAGCGACGATGCTACCGGGGCGGGGAGAGCCGAAGTCCGGCACACCGATTGTCCCATAAAATGTCGCAAAGCCCGGCGACGATGCTGTGAGATGGCAACCGTAAACCGTCATCAAAGAAGTTTGCTCGCCACCGTTGCTTTGTGATTAAGTTCCTGAGCCAAGGCTCTAGAGGAAACAAGTCCGAACAGAGAACCCGAGCGGACCCAACTGCAGTCAAAGTCCCCAAGAAATCAGACGAAAATGTTCACAATTACATGCTATGGCATCAGCGGGAACCGACGAGCTTCGTAACCCCGACCAAGTTGTGGGAGGACGGGTGCCTGGCTTCTTGCTACCCGGCAGGTCCACAGGTGGCGACTAGTGAACGGCCCTCAGCGAAGGTTGTCTAAGGAGTACGCAGGCTCCCGGGTCTGACGAGTAAGCCGTCGCGGACCAGTGGCAACAGTGTGAGCAAGGCAGGGGGGGAAGGGAAAGCTGAGGTCTGGCACCCACATAACGACACTCTGACACGGTAACTATGAACCGTCAGTTAGTAAGTTCGCCTGCTGCTGGTGCTTTGGACCCAAAGCAGCAGAAAATATGACCCTGAGTAAGCAATCTGGATTACTCTCGGGAACCTGCTTGTACAAAAGTTCTGAAGAAACCCCATGAACCTGGCCGGCTACATCAGGCATGGTCACAGCTATGTCAAGTTCTGATAAGCAAGTACGGAGTACGACAGGAGTAGGGTGAAGGACCCCAATTAGCTGTCGGTATACTGTGGATCGCGTCGTACGAGAATGATGGTAATGGAGGAGGGGGAGGTTGCGGGTGGGGTAACAGTCCGGACAGGAAGCTCACGAAATGCAGGAAAACACAGAAGACGGTCGCTGGCAACAACGATATTTTCGAGTAAAATTATGGATTTATGCAGACACGATATCCACCCGGATATTCTATGACGTTCCATCTCGAAAAACTGCCCGACCATCGGAAAACTGAGCCCATCCCCAGCAGATATTTCTGTTCTCCCTTACTTCATGCTGAGTTGGTCTCCGTTTCTTCGCTCTTGAGTACAACAGTATCAATCATCAGTACGTAAGTAGACTTCGCAAGTGCATATGTCAACACACGATCCGCAGTCTACCAAGAGCTAATTGGAGTCCATCACCCTACCGCTGTCAGGAGTACTAAGTGGGATTGATTGTACATTGTCGCAGATCGCACAGAAGTCCACGAATGCTGTTACATACACAACGGGGCTTTCAGCAGGATATGTAATGTGCGTTCCGATAGCCGCGTTCCGCAGATCACTCCCTCTAGTTACTTCTCCCAGGTTGCAGAAAATATTCACCTAGAATTGAGTTTGACGGACGGTCAATCATATACAAGTTGTTATGTGCGTGTTTCTGCGTCATTCCATGTGCTTCTGTCGACTGTAGGCGTGCTCCAGACAATCATCGACACTGTTGTTTACTTGGCACGAAATACGGCGCTCCGTTATGCTGAAATATATAAAAAAGGAGTACTATGGTAGTGCCACCTAGCGCAAAATGCAGTTTTTGCAATTGCTGCTCTGGGAAGCTATCTCCAGAAGTCTGTTTTCTTCGGTTACGCGTGAGCTTAGCCAGTATTCAGTCAGTTTTCTGCGCAACAGCAGATAAAGTGTTCGTGAGTGAATGGAGAGACCAAGAAGTGACAGTTAGACTCGACAGATTGCCCCACCTCCCTCTTCCCCCTCCCGGAATTCCTGCTTCCCGTTAGCGGACTTCAACCACCCCGACTGTCGCCATCGCCTTCTTCGTCACAATTTACCGACCCCCTAAACTTAACCCGCCTTTCATCAACCCTGCAGTTCTGGGTGTAAAACTACTCGTTTATGAGTTAGGAACTCGAATTGTGCTCTTCCACCACTACAGCATACTATCTGTCTGTCTGTCAGTCTGTCCCTTGTAATACGTTTAAGTCGACTTCTATTTTTCGTTTTCGTGTTCGTTTTGTCGTACAATCAACCCAGGAGAATGATGCTGGGAGTGCGAGTGTATTGTATATCTATAGTGGGAGGATGTTCACCGATCAAGTTGGGGACATGGTAGTTGCGGTGTGTCCTGGGACTCGATCTAGTGTCTGATAGGCAGTCACTCAGCGACTAGTGGTGTGCTTAGAGGGAGATCGCCAACAAAGGTGAGAGCGACTAGAGGGCCATTTCCGGCTGGCTAACCCTCATCTGCTAGCCATGTTCAACTCCAAGTCTGGATGAACTGGTATCCGGATCCGGTTTCATTGATCATCGAGCCTTAAGTCCAACGTTCTACTATTGAGCCAGGGGCTCGTTGTCCTGTCAGTTCCGATCGGAAATATTATCTATGGTCCGAGGACGTTAACTGATCGGGTTACAAGGTATGCCAACCCCTTTGCGCATTGGGCTCAGTATAGCATGCAAACCTGGATTTGGATAAGGCTGACTGACGACGACCAGTAAACCGATGATAACCATCGCAGCCCCCATTGCCATTGTGGGTATTCTCTCCTGTGTTTTGACCGTTTTATTGTGTAGATCGTTTGCGCATTCTGTTCAACTATTGACCATTCTATTCAACAATGCTATTGACTAGATTCTCGGGAGGGCCCTATATGAAGGTGACGGCATTGAGTTTGCACCCGGACACCGACTGACTGATCTTAACTATGCCGATGATATCGCCTTACTTGCTTCAAGCTTTGGTGATCTGCAGTCTATGGTGTCACGGATGAACGAGGTCGCTAAATCGGTCGGTCTCTCCATAAACGCTGGGAAGACCTAAGCATTTTTAAGCTGCATCCCTGACCAGGAGAAGGCACCCCTCGGGATTGATGGCTGTCAACTGGAAGAAATAGACAGTTTTAAATACCTTGGGGTGAGGCTGCTGCCTAATGTACAGAATAAGGACGACATTGTCCCCCGAACTGATGCTGCCCGCTGGGTTTTTTCAAGCCTTCCAAAATGCCTATGGATCCGACGTAACCTCTCCATCGCCACTAATATTCGCGTGTACCGTGCATCTGTCCGGTCTGTCCTTCTCTACGGTTGTGAATGCTGGACTGTTCGCGTGCATGACGAGCGAAAACTGGAGGTTTTTGGCCATCACTGCTTGAGGACCATCCTTCGAGTGAAGTTCACCGACTTAGTCTCAGATGAGATAGTTTGCGCTCGCTGCGACAAAATCGCAAGGATAACTCAGGTTATCCAAGAAGGACGACTGAGGTGGTTCGTGCATGTTCTTCGTCGTCCACCTCAGGAGCTCAGTGTTACTGCCCTCGATCGGCACTGTTGCCCCATTGGAGGCGTCGAAGAGGAGGTCAGTTGAAAAGCTGGCAGGACACAGTTGGCCAAGATATGGAGGTGGTTCTTGGACCTTCGGCATTCGGTCTCCGTCGTTGGCGAAGGGAATGGGTTGAGCTGTCCAGATCTGCTGCCGCGGATCGTCACGCGTGGAGAGGTACAGTTTGTGACATCATCGAGGCCCGCTAGATCAGGCATGTTCGCAGCCGTATCAAGTACAGGTACCGTTTGCCCAATTACCACCAAAAATGTATTTGGATAGTCAATGCATGCAGCGGAGGTCGTTTACTGCACCCCCCTCCCCACCTCATCCCCTCTGTCTCTGCTTCTCTCACGTCGCCGTAGATTGCCGCTCGTGGGTGGACTTCACACCGAAACCTTTAGTTTCCTTAAGAAACTGGTCCGTCTGATTGCTGTCTCCTCCTATCTGCCATTTCCCTTTTCTGATGCATTTGCAGAACCTTCACCGTCTGCGACAGCCGCACAACATGACACAGAGACCAGTGCAGACGGTAAGTTGATTTTAACACTTTTTAGTCGAATTGGCATTACCCTGAGGGGCAAAGTTTTGGAAAATAGTCTACATTATCAGGCTCTTGTTCGAACAGTTGAATGCATATAATACTGTGTGTACAAATTCCGAACCCTCTAGATTAATTTATGGATTTTTCAATCAATTTGTGCGATTCCCTCTTTTAACTTCTTAGTGCTTCAATAGCTGGGCCGCTTGTAGTTTTTTGCGGGTGTCCTGTACGCCAAGTTAATTGAAAACCACAAATTTGCCACATGGTTTTTAAACTAGGTAAAAATTGCCGTGTTTAAAGGCCATCAAATCCTTACCAGAATACCGTAAGTGCTAACGCAGTCCGTGTGACGTAGTCGGCATGCATACGCGGATTGCACAAGATAAACAGTAGTCATCAGATGTAATTATTTAAACCTACAAAGTCAAGTTAAATAGTGAGCACCAGTGTAATATAACGCGCGACTTTTATAAGTTACCGAGCAATTTCCACCCCTTTCTCCTATTTAAGGTATTCTGCACTTGCGACAACGCTTCACGCTAGGCCGATCACGAGATAGTGGGAAAATAACGTGTTATTGTGTGTATTGATTAATTTCGGGTCATGTTCATTCAATAGTAGTATTTCAATTTAATTTCAGTAGCATTTTTTATTTAGGGCGGATTTCTGTCGGTTTGTACAGTTTTTGTTTTTCTCCTGATCCCCAAAAAGACAGCAAATTTTTCGCGCACTACCACCTCCACTTGAGACACGATGGAATAAAAACTCATTCAAATAAACATGGAACTCTACACCCCCCCTCCCCCCATTTACTGCCTCTCTTGCTCGTGTTAGGCAACTCCGTTGCCAGCACCCCGATGGTTGTACGGGATCCGACCTCGGTCTTCCAATCCGCCACTTTGAGCTTTGGCGATGGAAGCCATTCAACTTCACTTGTCTCAGCTGAGGGCGCGGTCGAATCGGCGCCACTAGCAGCAGCCGACTTCCTCTCCGGTAGAAGCCATCTGGTGACAGCCAGCTGGGATCGCCTCGGACGTCTGTACGATCTCAACACGGGCCAGGAGGTGCACTCCCTGACGGGTCACGATCACCAACTGACGGACGTGCGCTGCGCCGAGCAGTTACCCGTCGTGGTCACCTCTGCACGCGACAGCACCTTCCGTCTGTGGGATTTTCGCACACCCCGTCTGCAGATCCATGTCCAGCAAGCGCACAGTCGGTCAGTGGCTTCTCTCTTCATTCCCTTCCATCCGTCTTAGCCACTGTTCTCTTACATATTTGTACTTTTTGCAGAGTCCATCGGCTCACGCCGATGGTCAGATAATTTCAGGATGACGTGCCGGCGCCCGTCACGGACAATAAACCCACCTCAGAAAGTGGTGTCTAATCCTGTCCCCCTTCATTACTTTTCCTGTACAGGACAGTGTCAACCGCGCAATTCCTGCCCGGATGCCCTCCGGATCTTTTGATCAGTGCCGGGACGGACCGTATTTGCAGACTCTGGGATCTACGCAAGTGTCGCTCCCCCCTCTTTACCCTCCGCACTGACGCCGGCATCAACAGACTCGCTGTCCTTCAGGTACATCTGCCCCATCCCCTCCCCTTTCTTATTGGCTGTGGGTTTATATACATGCTTTAAGTTTGGACTTGCTCCTGAAAGGTCGCTAAATCGGTTGGTTTATCCATAAGCGACGGGAAGACTAAGGCGTTTTCAAGCTGCATCCCTGACCAAGAGATGGCACCCCTCGGGATTGATAGCTGTCAACTTGAAGAAATAGACAGTTTTAAATACCTCGGAGCGAGTCTGCTGCCTAATGGACAAAAGAAGACATTGTCTCTCGAATCGATGCTGCCCACTGGGCTTTCTCAAGCCTTTGAAAATGCCTATGGATCCGAAGTGACCTCTCCATCACCACTAAGATTCGCGTGTACCGTGCATCTTTCCGGTCTGTCCTTCTCCACGGTTGTAAATGCTGGGCTTTGCGCGTGGAGGACGAGCTAAAACTGGGGGTATTTGACCACCACTGCTTGAGGACCATCCTTCTAGTGAAGTTTACCGACTTCGTCTCAGATGGGACAGTCGGCGCTCGTTACGACAACTTGGCAAGGGTAAGTCAGGCCATCCAAGAAAGACGACTGAGGTGGTTCGGGCATGTTGTTCGTCATCCACCTCAGGAGCTCAGTGTTACTGCCCTCGATCCGGCACCGTTGGCCCATTGGAGGCGTCGAAGATGGGGTCAGTTGAAAACCTGGCTGGACACAGTTCGTCGAGACACGGAGGTGGTTCTTGGACCCTCAGTAATCGGTCTCTGTCGTTGGCGAAGGGAATGGGTTGAGCTGTCCAGATCTGCTGCCGCGGATCGTCACGCGTGGAGAGGTACAGTTTGTGAAATCATCGAGTCCGGCTAGATCAGGCATGATCGCAGCCGTATCAAGTACAAGCAAATTAGTAAGTGGCTCCTGAAAGCAATGGGCGGAATTCTTAATTCCTTCTTTGTATCTGCTGGTCTGAGAAAAAATCGGCATGATTGGATGTCCTCCCAACGACGGCATACGGCACATGTCTGCAGACGATGCATTCAATGCCTATCGACTTCGATTCTGCGCACAAAAGTTCCAAGAACACGCAAAAGAGGATACAAGCATTCAGAGTTCCCTTACTGGGTGTGTTAGTGGTTTTCTGTTTATCCTTCATAGGTTCAAGGACGAGTTGATAAAGCGACATCGAAACCTTAAATAAAGGGGGCCTTACTTCTCCTTATGACTTGAGATATTTGAAAGCAAAATTTTTTACGTATTCAACTAAGACTATAGTCCTAACCGGATTCTTTTCGTGTTCGCCCTCAACCGGCTACTTCTGACCCACTATTTGCAATACTGACAGAATAGCATTGCTGAAGTAGACAGGGGAGACTGGAATGGCCTTCTCGGATTTGGTAGCCGTCATCAGCCAGCCATATACAGTACAACGAGGTATACAGCCCTCCGGGCTTAAACTCGCGACCTGTTGATTGGAAGTCCGATGCCCTAACCGTTGTTTAACGAGCTTGTTGTACTGTCGGTTACTATCGGGCATATTAAAAATGGCAGAGGGGCGCGCACCCATCGCAATACGGAAGTCACTCGTTCCCTTGTGCCTAGGGGCTCCATCTCGAGCCTCGCCAATCGGCGCACAGCGACGTGTAATATAAGGCTTAAGATTCTCCACTCCCTATTCGCAAGTGCTTCCACATTTGGCCCCTGTTGACATTCCCCTTCCTCCTTTTTGTAACCCTCATTCAAGCATGATCGACGTTCTTTTTATTAACTTCTTTTTGTATTCCGACCTTGAGCTGGGAGCTGAGCTGAGCTCTAACAGTAACAAAGGAATTCTTTGTCAAGGGCATCCATTTCTGAGGTTTGTGCTTTTTTATTATTACCTTATTCTATCAGTAGTACCGTATATACACCGAAACCTGTTTTGGCTTATACGCATGACGAAATTTACCAAGAATTCTACAGTACTCAACATCGTACCATAAATTGGAGGAAATGAATTTTATCAAACACAGACGCGTTCCATGAAGAATGAATCGGACGGTACGGAACAGTCTCTCGGACTAGACAAACCAGATGCCTTCGAAGGACAAGGGCAGCTGAAGAGAGACGTCCAGTCCGGCTCATTGGGTACTCGACCAACGTCGGGGTGACAAAGGGAAACCGTTGGCCGTTAAAACACTGCTGGGCTGGATGCTGCTTAGATCCTCTCCTAGCAGGCAAAAACAGAACGGAGGCTGCAGTGGCCATTTCTGGCTTGTTAGATTTCTCCAACCAGGAGCCCCAAGGCACAGAGGGACGAACGAGTTCGGTAACGCGACTGGTGTGTGCCCCTTTACCATTGTTTATATACCCAACCGCCACAGACAGGACAACGAGCCCGTGGCGCTGTGGTTATGGCGCCGGACTTCTAGCCAACAGGTGGCGGAGTCGACGCAAAGACTTTCTCCGCACCAGAAATGTCTTTTTTCTTTTAGTTCTTCTAGCTTTCTGCGTTCGTACCGCTGGTCAACTGCTTCCCTCCCCCCCATTTTCTTTTTCAGTCTTGTGCGCTGTTGGATGTCCGTCGGCGAACATCCGTTCTCAGCACGGTCACGGAGACCAGCGCTACGGCCTCGGACTCTGTCGCGTCCACCGCGACTGCAGCAGCAGCAGGAGCCGCCGCAGCCGCCGCCGTCTCCCCTTCCTGCATTTTCGCTCTTCCGCTGGACAACCGAACAGTTCGCTTTATTGACATCAGCGGAGCCCGCATCGGCCGGATTCCGCGAAGTAGCACTCAGGTTGGTCTCAGCACTGCCTTAGGTGCCCGCTAATCTGTGCAACATTGTCAGCCTTCTTGCTGTTATTGGAGCATACAGTCTAAAAAGAACCCCATGGCACGAACACCTGTCGTAAACTGATCGATGGACGTCACCCCCTCCACCTAATGGTAGAGCGTTGAACTACTTAACACACAATAATCAAATAATCTGGATGCGGACTCCGGGTTCCCTAAATCTGGGGTTGAGTACGGCTGACTGACAAGAGCTTTTAAGCTAGGAATGGTCGTCCCGTCTCCCTTGTCTTTGTCGGTACTCCCGTATTTGCATGCATATATATATATATATATATATCAATCAGGAATGGGTGCACACCGATCTATTGGCTTCACAAAGCAAACAAGCTCCGTATGTGTGGCAAAGGTCACGAATAGGCAACCAATTACCAGGCCGAAGTCGGCCAAGTCATAATAGCAGCGAGGAGGGACGACAGAGAATGCGGGTAGATTGATACAGCACTGTTTCGAGCTTATTCTGCCTTCATTCAGCCAATCATAACCCTGACCACCAGCAGCTGCGACCAGAAACACAAACATGCGCACAGACGCACCTGGCGCAGTCGGTCCACCACTGAGGCCTACCAGATGGGTCATAAGCACTTCATCGAACCGAAGTTCATCAGTGCCTCGCCACCTGTCATTCTCTGTCGCATATTTGCTTTGTGAAGCCAATAGATCGGTGTGCGCCCATTCCTGATTGATAAATACCCGATCTGCAGCGACAGAGAATGACAGGTGGTAAGGCACTGATAAACTTCGGTTCGATGAAGTGCTTATGACCCATCTGGTAAATATTCGAGGACCAGATATTGTATTGCGTTCATAATCTCCAAAAAAAGACGGAGAAGATAAGAGGGCGAATTCATGGATCAAAGTGTTTTTGAATCTACGTTTCGGAAGCTTCTTCGGTTCCATCATCCGAGGAGTGCGCTTGTTGCTCCTGCTGATCTTGAGTTGTTCAGCCCTATCGCTTGTCTCGTCATGGATAAGGCTGAGTGCTGCACAAAACTAGGCAACCTCTTGATGGACAAGGAAGCTTATGCGCCATCGACTGTCAGCGACTTCAAAAAGCTAATAAACAGCACAAACAAGACGATCGGCAAGCTGAGGAAGGCGGGAGCTCCTACGAGAAGGGAAGCGTTGGCCGCAAAAGCCAGTGATGCCGCGATGATGCGCTTCTACGGCCTACCAAAGGTCCACAAGCCGGAGTTGCCGCTAAACCCCATAGTCTCTTTTCATAGCACCTCAACCTTTGGGCTGTCAAAGGCCGCGAATTCCTGGAAGCAGTGCACCCAGATGAGGCACTCAGAATCGGCATATCGACTTAGATGTCACATACAAATTTCTCAAGGGAAAATGGAAGCGAGCGTAGCCAATGCCTAGGGGATGACGAAAAACCATTTATTTGCATTGGCTCAGGGTTCGGTCAACCATAGAATCACCTTTTCGACATAGTTATCTGTTTTTGTACGTAACCCAAAAGTCTGACGACGACCTGGGGAACCAGTATCGAAAATTTACTCATTAAAGGTTATTTTCTGCCCAAGGAATCTTACTTATTTTTAATTAAATCCCTTGGGATGCCCGTTTTCCAGTACATATATATATGCCAATAAATATCTAACACGTGAATTCCTCTAAGCCTGGCATTTTGACACGACAAGCATCAACCATTTCTCAACCATTCAACGTACAACCGCACATCCCCAATAGCTCTTTTGCGTACAATTTCTTGACATCGTCGTCAGGGTGTTCCCCGGCTTCGTTGGGAAAAAGTTTTATTACCACCGGTCCTCTATTACAGGTGACTAGGGTTTTTTTTACCTCAAGTGGGCTACAGAACCACATCTGACCAAAAAATAATACTATTTAAATGGTTATTTTTACGGAGTGTGGTTTTTGCAGACGGTAGGCAAGAAGTTAGTTCAAAAGCCAGCATCCCAAAGTAATTGAGATATCTTACGATTATGTTGCATTGTACTTAGTATTACAGCCCTACTTAAGTAACCTTTCCGAGTCAAAAACGTATTTCAGAATTGCGGTCAACATTTCATGAGTTAGGACGTCTACTATACAGAAGGTGTAACTCACGTGACGCCAAGGAAGACTTCTCACAAAAGCTGAATACTTTTAGAAGCCATGCTTTTACCATATTTCCACTAATTGTCCTGTGGTCAAGATCCGTTCTTTGTCATTTTACCAGACTTCTGAAGTCCGCTTCATAGGCTGCTTACGACATGCAGATCGTTTTCGTAGACGCGCAATCTCAACGCCCATTAACGTAACGAACTAAATGCCCCGAACCTTTCGGTTTTGTTCTAGGGACACACGCGAGCCATCACAAGCGTAGCTTGGGCCGGAGCCGGTGCCTACGATCTCTTCACAGCTGGGTTCGATCACCAGCTGCTGGCCTGGCAACTGCAGATGGCCTAGTCTCGGCTGTTGCCGTCTTCTCATTTATCTCCATCATCCGGACAGCCGCCATCCGCCTGCGCTCGCCAGTTTCTCGCTTCCTCCGCCCCCCCCCCTCCTCACCTTCCGACCTGCCCTCTCCCTCACAAATTAGACAGAAGCCGTTGCTGTCTTGGCAACGCCCCTGCGCGTGCGTGATGGAGCCTCGAGCATGTGCGCGACCCGTGATTTTCTTGTTTAATTTGTTGACTCTTTCTTTTGGACTCCCAAAGCTTGGGGTTGCGCAAGTCTTCTATGGCCACGAAGCATCTTATATCCTTGGCAGAGCTTACTTTCCTCGTTCTCTCATAACTACTATTTATGTACATTGGTTTCCAAAATATTTTTTCTCTAGAAATTTGGGGTGGCGAGTGAGAAAGATAGGAAGGCACCCTTCCATGACCTAAGCGATCTGAAACAACTTTATTCCCGCTCTGTCCTATCTTAATTTGTAAGTCGACAGGCGGCACACCGTTCCTAACATGATACATTTTACTGCCTGCAGCCTGCTCAACGAAGGGACATGAAACATGAGGAGACGGAGCACCCTGCTGTTTGCGGTCTGACGTGTCTGCGGTGTGGTGTGTGTGC